CAATTCCTGACCAGGGAACGCACACAATTGCATTTTAGACAGTCCAATTTTAAAAATTCCCCGGGTGAGCAAGCTGCCGGACCCCTAGAAATTTTTGTCTCCGGTACTCAACGTTCGCGCGGGCGAAATGAACGGTGCAAGCTCACCAGCTGAAGTATCCGGTACTTCCAAATGCTACCGAAAAACTCCAGATAAAAGACATGGTACTTTGACGTAATCAAGCCTTCGTGTACTGCCAAGACAGGAAGAGGTGAAAACAACTCGTTTACGCATTATACCATCCAGCTTGCTCTCTAATCGCTAGTATCCTGCCTTTTCTCTAATATATCATTTAAGGTTCGGTCCACCAATTCATCGAGTCGCTTCGTTGGAAACCGACAATTAGGTGTCAAAAAGACGTTCCTTTGTACTTGTGAGAGAAAGAACGGTTCAAAGAAACAAGCAGAGTTTGATAAATCGAGGCAACCTGGGCTTTTTTACATATTTATTTGTTTTTTATTAAAATCTTTTAACTTATTCTTATTTTTCTTCTACCTTCACCTTTTTCAGGTACGCACGTGTGCATCGTGCGTACAGGTAGCTACGCCCCTGAAAGGTGTAAGACGTGGCTCCTTCTGTAAAAAAAGGACACTTGCAACTTCTTCTGTTACAGCGAAAAGCTCCAGGTGTTTTGGGGGGTGGTCTGCGGGTGTTTGGCTCTGACTAGGATGTCACGTAGATTATTGGTAGGATATAAAAGGAGGAGAAGGAAGTACTTCTTTACATCGTTGTAAAGAAGGAAGAATGTTTAGATTGCCAGAAATAATATCGTTTGTGTTGGGAAGGGCTGAATTGAATGTTGCTACAAATGGTGCTCTGTCAGATTCCTGTCTTGTGGATGTTTCGAGGGCGTGGTTGCGTAGAATAAGGCGTACTTTGTTTATTTCTTGCTGGACGAAACGGTGTTTATATCCTCTGTTAATGAGATGTGTGGTGAGTGCGTTGAGACGTTTGTTAAAGAAATCATCTGTCGAGCAAATTCTTCTTAGTCGTAATGCCATGCTGAAAGGGATCGATTTTTTAGTGTGGGATGGGTGGCAGGATGATTTGAGGGGGTATTAATGCTTGTCTGTAGGCTTGACATAAAGGTCAGTTTGCAATGTGCTGTTGATTAGTATAGAACGTTGACATCAAGAAAAGGGATTTCAGATTTAGAAAACGAACTAACAAATTTGATTGTGGGATGTAGGTTGTTTAAGTGCGTGATGAATTCATGTAATTTATCCTCGCCATGTGACCTTAGAAGGAGGATGTCGTCAATATAACGCCAACAGATAAGGAGGGAGTGGGTTGCACCGGCTAGAGCTCGTTCTTCAAACTTCCCCATGAAGAAATTGGCGTAAGAGTGCATGAGCCATTTTCGTGCCCATCGCTTTTCCATTAACTTGTCGGTACCGTTGTCATACGGATGAGATCACAGAGTTTGGTTGTCTGAATAGAGGGATTTAGACGACTGTCAAGAAATTTGCTGCAGGCTTGGATTCAGTCCTTGTGAGGTATGTTGGTATAAAGTGAAGATACATCAAGGGTAAGGAGAAGAACACCGTTTGGTGGTTGGGTGGTCTTTAATGTAGGAGGGGAGTTTGGAAAGTGTCAGTATTTTTTGACCAGTAACTTGAAAGTGTCAGTATTTTTTTGACCAGTAATTTAACCTTTAAGGTACTTAAATAATTAGAATGGACGTCAAAAGTGGAATACTGGTACGATGAATTCGCGCGCTTTGTTGCAAAATTAATGCTTTCTCGCAATTCAATAAATCTGCTCTAACTACATGGGGTTTTACGGTTGTCTACAAAACAATAATACAGTAAATGATGAGGGAGGGGGGGATACCAAAGCGTGGAACGAGTTCCAACCTGCTTACGTTTTTAACGCATGGTTGATATGCATTTATGCAGGTCACTAAAAACACTGAAAGTCTTTAAATGCGCTTTATCACCAATTGGTATCTGATGGACACCTTGGTGTAATGAGAATTGTGCTGACAACTACCAACTTAAAAGTCGATGTCTGGTTTGCGGCGGCGCTGTATGATTGTGAAACCGAGGGCTCTGTGGCTGGCGATGGAACCGTCAAATAAAGAACGACCAATAGAAAACCTGAACATTTTGTAATTCGTAGGTTCTTGATTTCCTCTATTCAAAGTATACAGGTTATAGAGGAGATAATATTTAGAAAGAAACATGGAAGATACGGAAGATAAAAGACTCAGTATAGTGGAACAAGTTATGGCGTACTGAGCTTTGGAAATACGGCAAATAAGTACGAAATTATTATCATCGTTGTCGACGTCGTCGTTGTCATCATCATCATCATCATTAAAGTTACACTCCTCTGCTACTGATACAGTAAAGCCCACTACAAAGCAAGTTTATCTGGTAAGTGTATACACTTTCCAACCTGACCAGCAACAATAGTAACAGTGTTTTAACTGTTAAAAAGAAGAACTACAAGATCTACT